ATTCTGAGTACGAAAAACCCAGATACATAACTTGATAAGTAAATGTAATTAGAGTCGATTTTTTAGCTAAACCTAACACGATTTGAACACGGTGTATGTGATGTTTGTAACCCGATGGAAATATTGAAAATTTCATTATTTGGTTGCTCTACTTGTTTCGTTATATATATATATATATATTCTAATTTTATTTTAAACAGTCACTTCGTGTTGATTCAGTCAACTAGCTTTCATGTATAATGTAATTTGTAAAAGAAATAGTTAAAATCTGCTAAGCGAAAGTTGTACATTATGCATGTTTGTTAAAACTAATTTATCTTTTTTCAGCATCGATCAGGCATCTTCGAAAAAATGACCTTTTCCCGCAAGAAAGTAAGTTAATTTCTCAATTTCAAGTTCAGATACTGAAACTATAATTGCTCTTAAAAATATTGTGTTTAAAAAAAAATTATTTTTGCAGTAACTGCATACGATAAAGTTGGTGGTGTAGAAGCAACCACGTTTTTAGCGGATGTCACAAACTCGGACCAACTGAACGGTCAGGAAACGGACATGAAAGACGAACTTGACGCACTAAAAAGTTCTACCGATGCTTCATTTTATGAAGAAATTTTTGGAGACGAAGGATTTGCCAAACCACCTCCTCCGCGAAATATTATTTCCCCAGCGCCATCGAATACTGAGTTGGATTCGGTTGATAAGAAAATGCTTGTGCCCCAAAGTTCACGATTCGGCATCATAAAACACTCAAATGACATTAGCAGAGAAGAAGAAATTACCCAAGAAGAACAAAATGAAGGTATGATCTTTTTACCTATCACATAAACATAAACTGTACAGTTTTTTTTACCCGTTATCAAGACGTTGTTAAATTACCAGTATAAATAGTACAAATGTTTCACCGAAGTTATTCGAGTTTTATCTAGATAACATCAGAAGAACTTTGCGCTAAAATATAGAAATTATTCGTAACTGTGATGTTGTGGGTCATATATCCAAATATTGTTTTAGAAACAACTCCAAATAGCTATTTTTAAAGTTCACCATTTTTTAAAGTTTCAAGTGGATATTTATATGGAGTTATATTATGATAAATCACAAATTTGACACAGCATATTTAGACCCAAAACAGGATTATTGAAAGGATTTCTTTCATGGAAACAAAACCATATGCTTATTATTCACATCTCAAAATATTTATCATGCAGAGTTTCCATTGTCCCTCACAGAAGATAAACACAAAGATATGACAATGAAAAAGGACACAACTAATTACAGTATGTATTCTATCGTTGTCCTATTTATCTGTTTTTTGGAAATAAGACTCTGAAGGTGAAAATACATTGCATACTTTGAATACGTAAACCTATGTAATCCGTGGACTTGATCACACCACGGTTGCCGCATTGTTGTGTAATACCTTCTAAAATATTTATGTTGTCTGATACATAAAAAGGCGCCGAATCTCCTTGTGACGTTGGGTACTATGTTATTGCGTACAAGATGTTTGATAAGCATACTTGAAAATTCTGACCGAAATACTCCTCCATTTTGCAATCTATTAGCTAATTCTATGATTTTACTGTTTCTTTTTTTGTTTTGTCATCTCTTGGTGTGTCTCCCATTTCTATTGATTGGGTGAGTAACAAGTAAATAGATTAGATTTCATTTTTTAGGACTCATTGCCATCATCTTGGGAGCTTTACTTACAATTTTCATCGTTTCGTCAATCATTTTTCTCACGTGGACAAGGTAAATATATCAAAATTCATTAGGAATCAAGTCTGGTTGTTACTAGAGCACAGAGACAATTGCACGAGATTGTGGGGCATTTTATTTTTGATCTATACTTGGCTGTACATGACAAATATACTCAGGCACAATAAGCCTAAAAATATCGCCCACCAGCTTAAGAAGATCGATCAGTTATGAGAATGCTTTTCTTTTTAATAAAAACTTGGAAAAAACATCATTGATGGATGTTTTGTGACGACAGCTTTAGTACGAACTGATACAAAATACATTCTGTATTTCAGGTTGCACGGAAAGGTTTTATACAGCCCCGGTAAAATTGTTAAGGATCATCGAAGAGAAGACGGAATTCCAGACTCTAAAACAAACAACAACGAAAAATTATCAAATTTGTACAATGATTCAAACGCATAATAAATATTGGAGTTCTTTTTCGATACAAAATAAATGAAAGAATGAGAAATGGTAGCTCTACGACGAGAAAAGCGAATATTGAATGCAATAAATCAAGTACTTAGTGGTGGAATGGTCTCAGCAAGGGTCGGAAAACGTCATCTTCACTGAAGATATGCAAAGCATAGAATTATTAAGCTTAATTCGCTGAATATTGTCCGATCAGACACATTTCAAGCATTCAATAAATTAAATATATATCTATGCTTATATTTTATTTTGAAAAAAAAAATTTTTTGGATACATAAGGGAATGTTGAAAGATAATCAGGTATTTTTTGAATGCTGCGCTTAAAATTATATTAAAAGGATGAGTATTTTTAACGAACTTATTAATACTGCGAATACCTATTTTAGTTATCAATTATTTATGATATTTTCTTTGTTACCATCTGTGCAATTTACTGTTATTATTTTGTTTCAATAGTTTTTTTATACCAATACAAACTTCAAATAAAGTGCTATATTAAAGTTGCATCATTCTCTAAAATGGACTCATCACACAAGATCACGAACACAAAAGAATTCAAAACAAACTACCAACTTAGACTAGGCTTAAATGCTATTGAAAATTAGAGTCTAGGCGGTAACCACATTCTTTAAAAATGTTCTAAAACAGTCGGTATGGATTTCAGCGTTTGCTGTTGAGCTTACTCCGACACCGACTAGATCATTTACTTTTTATGCAATGTGAAACTCGCATGCAATTCATCCGTGATGATGGGTAAGTAACGCCATTTTGGGCAATGTTTGATCCGTTCCTGATAATGCCTAGAAGTCGACTAACAATGACTTTTTATTTAGAATTATTAAAATTTTAACTTGAATCAAATCAAATCTTCGATCAAATAAAGGTCGTTTTTGTGATCCTTGGATAGAAAGCAACATGATATTCTGTAGACACAACATATGCCAATACGGGATTATTAAGTTTTATATCGGGTAGAATATCCAAGCTAAACGTCTTTCCGCCGGTCCACGGAAAGGTTACTACCGGTCCGCAGAACGGTGACATAAAAACGGAAAAGGCCCTTATAACACCTCTAAGTCAGGCCAGACACAACACATCTGAGCACCACGTCTGACTTCACAGACCGGACTCTTGATGATAAATGACGCAATAAAACTTACTGAAAGTTGACATCGAACAGTTTAGTTTTTTGTGGAAAAATCCCAATCATGACGCGGACCGCAAAAAAAAAATGCCTGGCGGGCCGCGTGCTGGAGACCCCTGGGCTAGTGCCAATTCTATACTTCATAATAACCATAAAACTAGCGGATCCTTTATTAAAATTAGGCTAAACGAACATAAATAACGCCAAACATCAATCAATTCTAATACAAAGCTACTAATAGGTATTGTTACCTTTCCCGACAACGTATTTATATGAAGGCCGTGTACTCAATATTGAAAACTACCAACCGAAATAACGGTATCGATTTAGGCTGGATGTAGGAAACACGTTACGTGTATCAATGTTGACCATCTCATAATTGGGAACAGTCAATAATGTCCAGCAAACCAATGCAGATCTCGCATTAAATTGCATGACCTTTGTTTTTGAATATATTTCAAACGCGTGTATTTTATTTATATGCTTAGTTCATATGTATAAAGGTGGTCCGCCAAAAATTTGGTCAGGATTTATCGGTCCGTCGCTTACAAAAAGTTGCCGATCACTGCTCTAGTCTATAGCATATTACATGTTAAGTAAGCGTTTAAGGCATTTGGCAGGGAGGGAAATGCAGCATATTATGTCCCCGGCATATAAAATATATGATTTATAATTATGTTATTTGCAACACATCTGAGGGCTTGCCTATTGGTTCAGCTTAGTAGAAAGGATATCCATGAAAATAGCACATTGTGGACAGTGAATTGATCTGACGCACATTTATCCCATCTAGCTATTATTGTGTATACAGAGTGTCCATAAAGTCCCTTTACAGTTTCAATTTTGTTATGAAGTCAGTTCTCAGTATATTTTTAACAGGTTTATTGTTTTTTAATTGGTAATTGTTCGAGTCGGGAAATTGCAAAGCAATTGGTCAAGTAGTTAGCGGGAAAAGTTTTTTTTACAAAAAGAAGAAAAGAAATACTAACAAGGAGATCAACAACAACAAAATGGCAAAACGATCCATAAGTTCACTTCGTGTCCCACAAGGACAACAACAGTCTGATAACAAAACAATGTGGATTTCGTGGCCAATAACAGACAAAAAAATATTTATGGGTGGATTCGATGGGCAGCAGTAAGACTCATGTCGGACGTTTCACGCCATAGCAAAATGAGGTATACACACGGGTTAGTACAAACGAAAATAAATTGTGTAGCGAGCCATGGAATTTGGACACTCATCTCAAATTAGCGGAGTATTGTAATAATTTTTTTTCAAATTGCATTTGAAAAACATAGTGTGAAAGTTTTTGGCTTACATAACAATTTATTACTAAAATGCTTTGACGACATACTTCAAAAATACTTCCAATAAAAGAGGCAGAAGCTAGTGAAAATTTGTTCAACCTTTCATGCATAAATTTGTGAGCCTATTACCTATGTTAAACTGGATCCAAATTATGGAATTTTCTTGCCTTGAATTTGAAGTCGTTGAAATCCAAAAAAAAAAATCAGAAACAAGTCAAGTCCCATTTAGTATCCAAATTTCGAAAAATAATGTTTCAGAACTTTTTGTATTCAGTTAGCTACAATGTACTGATAGCCATGACACAAATAAATATGGAACTTCAAGACAACTAAATTTCTCATCGATGACCACATACTTGCACATTTCATTGTTTCATCAATGCAATGTAAACGATGACAGTCAGGGCTAAGTTTGCCTTATCTAACAGTAATTGACATACTATACTTGGATGTGATTTTATAATTTTGATAATCCCCCTGTTTCCCAAACACAATTTCCTCTCAATTCTTTCAGTAATTGGACACGTAGTGGATCTACACATCGTTTTTTTTATTTTATTATGTTTTTGTTCTTGTTCTTTGTCATAGAATTATCGTTATAAAAATGTTATCGATTTTCTCCTTGATTACTGGACCAATTGCTTTGGAATTTTCACTGGTTGAAGATTTTATTTTTCGCTAGAAGGCTATTCTGTCATTTATTTCAAATATTTCTGTGAGCTCTATAGAATTCGATTTTGTGTGTGCTATGACGTCACTATAATGTGAGCATTTTGTGGTGGTTTCGCGACCGCATATGAGCGGATCTCTTTTTCAGCGAACGCCGTCTCTGATGAGTTGTCCGTGTGATCAAGTTGTCCGCCTCCCGATACGGATACTGGTTAGTTATCGTTGTGATTTTCGGGAAATATATGATAAAATATTTAGTTTTGCCATCCTTGTCTACATATATGTGAGCATAGCTCTCTTGTTAATTTAATGATAAATATTCAATGATCAATAGTTCAACAATTGCTTCTCAAAATAGTAGGCTAGTTAGTCAATTGTTGTTCAAGTAATCATCTACTCGTAGGTTTATTCTTTCACAGGTTGTTTCACAATGATCCAATAAATTTAACAGCCAGTTTGTCTACCAAATATGGTGTTTATATATACCAATAAAGTTACAACGATTGATGAATCGTCTACAATAATATTGAACGAACCTTATGAAACAACAACTTCAATTCCTATTCCCTTTTCCAAAATCGATGACTATTGATGGAAAAATCTTTCTTGAATCCTTTATAATCTATATATTACCCATTCCCCATTCTTCTATCTCAATACGATACCGCCTTAATTCAATTTTAATTACTTGTAGTGATAACATTTAAACGCTTAATATAAATTGGCTAACCAAGAATGAATGGTTTAGCCCACTTCTCTATGCATTCCAACCTGTGGGGAGTCTGGTTAGGCGATTGAAAGGCTCCAACTATATATAATCAGTTTGGCGATATATTTTATTATTTTATCTCCGTGATATTGTGCAGCAATTTTGGGAAATAGTCAACGCTTGGCTAACCGTTGAGTATGGATTAAACCTTAATTTGACACATAGAGACATGTTATTGGGGGTAGGGCAAGACCAGGGTTTAAATTGTGTTTTATTGTGTGCTAAATATTTTTTATACAAATGTAAACTGCGTAATAAAAGGCCTCAATTTTGCCAATTTTTATATATGATAAAAAAATACTATAAACTGTGAAAAGATTATTGCAACTAAAAATGGCAAACTGTCAACCCATAAGTGAAGTGGAAAACTATCATGTGCTCGTTTATTTAAAATGCAATTGTTATTGGGTCTATATAAATGTATTATGTGATATTGTATCTATATAATGTGATGTTGTTATTAATAGAAAAAATACTAATATGATGTGGCAAATAATCTTTTTTTGGTTTTTCTTTTTGTTTTCCTGAGTGGTTTACCTTAGTTTATTTTTCTTTTTTATTTTAATTCTGTGGTTGTATTATATATTTACGGTTGCATGTATGGATGTGTGGGAGCGCGTGAGTGTATGTGGATTAATTTTACATTTTCAGGTGAGTGAAACGTACCACTTCTTTTGGCAACACCATTCAATTGAAATTCTGTACGTTTTTAACCTTACTCGAGGATATGTTTCCTCTCATGATTCTGTAATCAGTTTTTTATTTGTTTTATCCAATATTTTATCGTCCTTTACCTGTTTACAATGATTATGGAGTCGAAATAAACCTAAATTCTTCATCCTGTCACACCGGAAACTGGGACATGGACGTGCCATAAACTGACTATTGTACATATCGTCGTTGTGCCGTACCTCTTTGTATTGTTATTTGTATAGTCAATTCCATGTCTGTAGTCTATTTGAGGGCTACTCAACTGGCGGACCGCGTTTCGCATCCGGACCTTTAGGGTATTCGATTTGGACCGAGCCTAATTCTTTATTTAGGATCATCAGCTCCGCTTTTGAAGTTTACTTTTATAAAATCACTTTTATAGACTTAAAAATATACGAAACGAACAACTATAACGCCATATTTAAACGATCTTAATTAGCTAATAAAATAACCATTAGTCGGCCGAGGAAGTGCGCTTTCAAGGATGTCGAAATATAATTTCTGGAAAGACCGGACCCAAATATTTTTGAAATTTTGAATGCGAATATTCGGTAAAACTAGTTGAGTAGCCCTGGTCTATTTTATGTCTGTTGTCCTAGTATAACGCAGCGGTCCTAAACTGCTGTTATAATTGTTAGGGGTACATGTCGCACATCTGTGTCTTACGCCAGTAAGGTCTTGAACATGTATCCCTTCTCTGTTTTACTGTTTATTTATTATGCAGGTACTGTTACATTTTTGAGACCAATAAACATACATACATAATCCTATTTGACTCCGAGCACCTAGGTCATGAACCCCCATTGCACCACATTGGCTTCAGCCTCAACCAAGAATGTTTGCTTAGTGCTGTAGTGAGGTACGGTGTGGTACCGTATTCTGGGATTGCAAATATGAATTTGGCTACCTGTGCTTTCATGTGATTTCTACCTACAGAAATATATAGGTTGAGCGTGGTTAAGCCACTGCGGAACTTTCGAACAAATAATTTTGGGAAGTGGTGGGTCGTGGTGACTGTAGTGCGGTGCGGGTACATGGTTGGATTGGCATACGGTACCGGTACCGGTATCCGGCCAAATTGTAATATTAAAGTTGTCTATTACAGTACGGGTATTCTGGTATTAGTTTCCATATTACTGTAATAGGCTAGACAGAATAGACAATTACAGAATTAACTGAACTGTGATAAAATAAATCCTCACCTTACAGACTTATTACCGGTACACTACCGGTACCGGTAATGTATTACCGTACCACAGTCTGACAGTACCTGGTAGTCTACCGGTACCGTACCGTCAGACCATATTATAGACTACAGACATCAGACCATGAAAACCCACCCTACCTGTCCTACTGCAGTAGGTAGCTTAAGTTCTCAAGTTATAGTCTAGTTACAGAGTTACCGGTAACTTATTTAATACCAAATCTAGTAATAAAATTTATTGACTCTTATTTGCGTTAGTATCCAAATCCTCTAAAATCAACCAACCATGGTATTGGTAACTATAAAACTGCCAGAGATTCATGGCGCATAATTCTGTAATTCTCTGCATTCATTTTTGGTAGAACATAAATATATACTGATATAGGCGATACCAGTACACATATTGCTGTTATTGGCTTTCACTGTCTGTCTGTATCGAGTTGTAGCTTAGTTCATCAATATATTGTGCATTCAGTTAAAAATTAAATATATACGAGATGAATATTCAAATCTTATCTATATCTGTATATTGCAACAGTAAGACCAAATTTCCCAATGTCACTACTTATCTTACCTTTTAAGGTTTTGGGCTTCCCTGAAAATAGTATAATTTCAAAATGGATTCCTTACACAGGATGCTCAGTAATACACGCTTTCAATTTCTTGATCCATAGTAATAAAAAGTTTTTATGATACTCATCTCTAATATATACTGATATAGGTACATTGTCCTTCCATCCTAATTATCAGTGGAATATTCTTTAGTATGAAGGTTGTGTATGTGTTTCTTTTTTAAAAAGCTTGTTATAACTTTTAAATATAAATAAGTATAATAAATCTCATCAATCGACAGTAGTGGAACAATGGCAGTTCGTGCACAATTTGAGAAAAACAACGAAGTTGGTGTTTTTGCCAAATTAACAAATACCTATTGTTTAGTGGCAATCGGCGGATCGGAGAATTTTTATAGTGTTTTTGAGTCAGAATTGTCTGACACCATACCAGTCGTTCATGCATCTATTGCCGGCTGCAGAATCATCGGACGGATGTGTGTTGGTAACAAACATGGACTCATGGTTCCTAACTCAACGACAGATCAAGAATTACAGCATATCAGAAACTGTCTTCCAGATTCAGTGAAAATACAAAGGGTAGAAGAAAGATTATCTGCTTTGGGAAATGTTATTTCATGCAATGACTATGTTGCGCTTGTGCATCCAGATTTGGATAGAGAAACTGAAGAAATACTTGCAGATGTATTGAAAGTTGAAGTTTTTCGTCAAACTGTTGCGACGCAGGTTCTAGTTGGGAGTTATTGTTGCTTCACCAATCAAGGTGGCCTGGTACATTCTAAAACTTCATCTGGAGATCAAGACGAATTATCATCTTTATTACAAATCCCGCTTGTGGCTGGCACAGTAAATCGAGGCAGTGATGTTATCGGAGGTGGTATGGTTGTGAATGACTGGTTTGCTTTTTGTGGCCTTGACACAACAAGTACAGAATTATCTGTTATTGACAGCGTTTTCAAACTTGGTGATCAGCAAAGTAGTGCACTCACCACACAAATAAGAGATTCATTAATTGACACAATTGTATAGTAGCTAATGTCTATGAGCCACTGCATTTTATACACTGGCTATTGTAAATCCAATTGTATATATGCAAAACATGCAATTTTCACCGGGCATCTTGATAATCAGTATGGATAATACTACAGCAGATAAGTTCCACGCTCGTTGCATTTGTTGGCAAAATTTAAATACCTGGACCTTGGCTGTAATAATATGATTGGGACTGATAAAAAGTCTGAGTAACTTTTAGGATGAGATTGTAGTTGACTTATTTTTTCAAGATTTATCTGTAATGCATTTCAAATTGCAATGCCGCATATTTTAAATTGATCGATTAGGTACTATGTATCATAAATTGGAAAGCATTCAGCTTGTAATGATTTGACTGACAATTACAGGAGATAAAATCGTAACTTCAGTTATTGAACTTTTGAGAACATTCATAAATTTAAGTGATCAAGCTCGAACTAACCCCTTCTTGGTAACGGTTTCCATAGGTACGTAGACCAAGTTGATTGTGTGTTATTCAAAGTTGAAAAATGATAGCAATTGCTCAATAAAGACTCTGGTGAATCCATATGTTTCTTGTTATTCATGCATTAACATCCAAACTTGATTCTATATGTATTCTGGAGGGGAAGTGGGTAAGGGGCCACAACCCGCGACTTGGGTGGCTGAACCACCAATTCGCATTACCAGATCACTTATGTTGTCTTACAATGTGCCTTACTAGACACTGTACATGTGTCACTGGGGATGTATTGTTATCTGCGACGGTGCTTTAAGAATGAAGAAATTTAGTGGGTTAATGAACATTTTGACACTTTTTACTTTCGATATTGAATTTGTTCTTTGTCACTTTGAGATCTGCTTTAGTCATAAGCTATGTTCCACTGGAGACTGGCGAGTTAATCATAGATGGTCCTAAGCATCCGATCGCGTGGATTTTTCGTGTAGAAAACCTGCTCGCAGTAATAACTTAATAGCTATTATTTGATTAGTTCTATCACAAGTCTTTATACAAAACCACGCGTTTAAGTTGAGTTTTGTTCTGCAGCGTTGCGGTCCGTATCTAATTATTTATGTAATAACGACTTGGAAGGATCACATGCATGGCAACATTTAATGTTTGAGTGAAGAAGTTTCAACCGTATCAAAATATTCCGACATATATCAATCACGGTGTGAGTATTCAGGATAGGATTTTCACGTTTGGGAAAGGACAGCCGACTGCTTACCACTATCTTTCGTCCTTTTACCGCCAATGCCAGGTATGGGATTTACCAGTGTCTTGTGACTTAATTTTATAAGTATATTTATGATCTCGTAATCGGACGATAAAATAATTGATAGAAACTGATAATAGAATCAAGAGAGAACCTTGAGTCGGGTTCATAGCGTGCACAATATAAGTTGGAAGATTTGACCAAACGAAGTGGATGAACGACCTGTGAAAAACAAACATACGCTATGAACACACAAACACCAAATTTTGAAGATAGTCTGGTTGTTAGGGTACATATAGAGGCACTCCCGAAGTATGTGCACTAAGATGGCGCACAGCCTGAACCCTAACCTGGTAAGCATACTATATTCAGGTTGTGCGCCATCTTGGTGCACATACTTCTGGAGGTCCCATATAAATATAAGAACTAGGTAGCAATCAAGGTTTCCATAGATTTAGGGTGAACGATACCATTCTTCGCAAAAATTTCTACTATAACAGGGATCCTCATTGTTTTGACGACCTGTTTGTATTCCGCATGAGAACCTCGACTTGTGTAGTCCATTCAATCGGATCAAATATTTATATATACGAGCGTTTAACCTTCTTATTTTCATCCAAAATTGCACCAACCCTTTTCATCTCCATCTACTTGCAGTTCCGTGGCCTTAGTTCTTAAGTTGGATTCACTGGAGGATCAATGTCCGGGTATCCGAAGTTTTAGTCTAAAACAGGGGTGTAAAACAGGCGGCCCTCGGGTCACAACCCGGCCCGCCAAGCCATTTACTGTGGCCCTTGTCAACATTCAGATTTTTCCCATCAAGCATAAAATCCGATTCCGACAGTTTAAGTTTAAAACGTCACCCATGTGGGTAAAAATACAAGTATTTCGTTGCGTTGAATTTTTCTCCGTTTTGCCCAATGTCTCATTACTACATAGCTAAGCAATAGCCGCATTCTTTCTTATTCCGCATGGAAAAATTTTTGTGTGGCGCGGCTAGATGTCTGAAGTTGGTTATATGCAGGGATTCCATCGATCTGGAACCCAAAATACGGACGACTGGAAAAATTTCTGCATTGTGAGCAGAAATAGCTGGCTTTCCTATGGCCTCCAGGTAGGGTTGCCAACCGTCCTTTATTTCAAAGGACAATCCTTTATTTAAGATTTTTGTCCTTATCCCTTTTAAGATGATAATTGTCCTTTATTTTTTCCAACATCGTTTTGCCCGATAGTTATAGTATTGTGTTTGATATTGTTTTGTTCTTAAATTGCCTCCGTTTATGTATTTCAAGCTTTCAATTTTTCTTTTTAATTTCGCTTTGGTCCGGCTCAAATAGCCAAAAAAATATTTATTTTAGGTTGGAACATGGCACAGTTACTTATATTATTGATTTCTTCGAGAATGCAGATGAAAGTGCGGATGGAATGCTCACTTGTTTGAAAAACACTATGAACAATTTACAACTTGATCGGAAAAGAGTTTCTTGTTTAAGTGCAGATGACGCAAATTGCAACTTTGGAGAAAAACATCCCATTTATACTAATGTTCACACATTAAAATCAATCCCGTTAAAATCATTTTTCTGTATCATAGGTAGCAATTTTCCGTAGATTGAAATGCTCTTTAGATCCCCCAAGACTACTAAAACACGTGTATTCCATCGCTCGATCGGATTCGTTAGCAGTTTTGATCTAACTTGGCTTAAAAAAAATTTCAGAACCCCCTCCTTTGAAAATTTCTGGCGACGCCACTAGATGATATTATTAGGGCTGACTGCAGTGCACACAATACATTGAAATTTGCTTCAGAAAATTTGAATGTTGATATGTCATGTTCAATGTCAGCAAAAAGACGAGAAACTCTTATAGAATTTCATATATTTGTAGGGACGGAATTTCATGAAATTATGCGTCATGTACCTACTATGGTGGCTATCTCTGCACCCATGCATCGAAAGAATCTTACATTCTTGTGGCGCTTTAAGTTCTTATTTCTTCAGCAGACCAGCTGAATGTTCCAAACAATTACTTAAACTTTTTATGATTGACAATGAGTCAACAGAAGTTCCTAAGCTTATAGAAATGCATTTATTATTCTCACAACATGTAATGGAGGTATTTAAATTAGCTGTTCAAGAACTGGAAAAAAATGAAACTTCAACAGCATATGTTTTCATTATACTTACTAAATTAAGAAATAGGTTAAAATCTCCATCTGATGAGGAATTTTTTGGGTATGATGTTCACCAACTTCTTGCAAATGTGAGTGCTGCTGAAGCACAAGAGGCAACTGAAGATTTATTTCTCAACTCTGCAATAACGTATTTAAGTGTGTTAAGGTTTTCAAAATAGTTTTATTTGTGCTCTCTATTCCCAGAACCTCAGCTTATTGTGAACGCATTTTTAGTGTAATGTCATCTAAATGGCGCAGTGAAAGGAACAGATGCTCCATACAACTAATGAAAAGTGAGCTTTTAATATACTTCAACTTGAAAGACACGTGTCGTGAATTTTCGGAAAAAATAAAACGTGACCCACAATTGCTGAAGTCAGCAAAGAGTCAGAACAAATATAACTTTAAGAAATATAAACTTATGCAACTGCAAAATTAGAGCTTGTTTGGATCAATGTTAAATGAACATTAAATAAAAAACAAATGAAGATTTTTATATATATTTTTTTAGCTTGTATATATATATATATATATGTATTTCATTGTTTTATATTGTTCTTTCCTGTAAGTTACAAAATAAATAATGACGGTAATCTATGTCCTTTATTGAGACTTTCCATAGTTGGCAACCCTACCTCCAGGTTAATGTCACAATTACAGACGTCACAGTGTGCGAAGCACTCACCCTTCAAGCTTCGTTTAACTTTAAATTCTTTTCCGTACTCATCACGAAAAACGTTCTTACATTTGCTCATTTTTGAATTTAGGCTAAAATACCCACCACCACCACAAAACCTAAGAATCGCCACACTAACAATGCTTCATGCCTATCTGTGCCTTGCCTCTTTGTGTTCCAAATAAGATTGTGTTGCTTTTATGATGCCACAATAAAGCTTTGGCGATAAAACAAACAACACAAAGCTTCCTTTATGAAGACCAAATAAGACTATATAAGGACACCCAAGCCAAAAATAAGAACGCAAGCTAAATATAAGTCAAAAATAAGGACAAATCTTAGAAATAAGAACGGTATGGAATCCCTGGTTATAGGACCAACCGACAAAAATGTTGCACACCCTCAGTCTAAAACATCCTTATTACATCGTCCAATATCACGTCCACAACCGACGGTGGTCAAATTAGTCTCAGCCCAGGAAGTTTATATATATATATATATGTGTGCAGCAGCTAATCAGTTCTTCCTCCTGTAAACGAGATGATTTAGGATAAACCGATAAGGCTCCATAAAAAGGCGTCTACTAGCTTGGTTCTTTTTAGTTGACGTTCACAGAAGCTTACAATAAATGATCAAGGTGGAAACTCTTTTTATAAGTTGCGCAATCTCTTTTATACAAAGTAGATCACAGTGACTAATTTTACAGGTCATGTTGATTAATCATGTTTTGCGACTACGAACATGTTCCGCCACCAATCGTACTGGAACTTGTCCTATTAATAAAATAGGCTCTTTTACGCGCTGAGAAAGTGTTGTATTCCAGTGTTTTTCAACCGGGGTGCCGTGGGAAATTCTCCAGTTTGTCTATGCCAGTGGTTCCCAACCGCCGTGCCGCGCACATTAGTGCCGCGAAAAGATTTCTTTTATGAATATATTTCGAGTGATTTAAATTTCCAATCCCTGAATTCCGCGAGAATTACCCCACGGCTCTTGGTAACAAACCGGAACGACAAATTTGTGGAGTCTTATTTGGGTATTCTTTCAACTCCAAATTTTGCATAAAGATCACAAACACCGTTTCGTAAAATTGAAAATGTCAAACAAAGTAATAAATTATTGTGCGAAATTACTTCCATATTTTACCAAGAAATTATTATTGGATCAGTAGAATTGCCATTATTTAATCACTATTTAAACTCCAAATAACAGTCAGGATTCATACAATGACTTCGCTGGGTTTTCATTCACTATTTTATACGAAAATAAAACAGGCATAATATAAAAGTAAAATCAAAAGTAGGTCAACTATCGTCCTCATAGATATTCGCTTTTAATTTTATATTGTCAGCTTGGTAATCTACAGACGCTACGGAGAAAGATCAAAGCCGACGCAAGAGATAAAAATCGGAATAAAATCATGAATTCACGATATGAACGCATGGTTCTTCCAGGAACATAAAGCCAAACTTCGACGTTCGCCGTTCTGTAATATATAATTGGTCCT